TAGTGGTGGTACTAAATGTTTTGAATTTTTGTTTAGATGATAGGCGTTAGTCAAAAGATTGAAAACCGCTGGAATAAATCGTAAAAGGTTTATTGGAAGATCGGAAGATCGGATTTTTTTATAAAAATTTCTATTTCATTACAGACATCTGAAAAACATTTTAATCTGAATTTCTCTTTCTGAACGAATGCTGCTGTTCCAGGAGGGGATTAATGTATTTTTAGCTTAGTGTCAAAGAAAGAATGTGACAGTTGTGAAAAATCCTCATTCTAATATTAGAATTAAAAATCCGGTATTTTAAACGGAAAGAAGTTCAGAAATTAATATTAGAATTAGAAAAGAATTAAAATTCATGCAAGTATTTTAAATAATTAAGTACTTAGACTGAATTTCAATAGGATGTTTTGATATATATATATATATATATATGTAATGATTTAATGCGTAGAATAAAAACACTGGAACTCTTAACAGCTTTCGGTAGCAGTCATCGCTTATGCTTAAGGCATACAGATGAAGATAACGAACTGGATTCCGATAAATCACCGATCTTTATTTTCACACATATCCAATTAGTTTGGCAGTCACTTATTCAATCATAATTAAATAGTCTAAATTGCTATGTGCATTGTTTTGTTTTTAAAAAATGATGTAGGCATAAGCATAACAGCGTGGATGTTGGCGTGGCGGCCATACGAAGTACATGCAGAAAGTACTCTAAGCCATGACTGGTTAATCTTAGTTTGTTGCAAACCATAGAAAGGATCTCGAATTTGGGAGAACAGATGAATTTAGGAGGAGAGCACCAAACCTAGAATCGTTAAATTTGAGGTCGACAATTATTTTTAAAGCAGTTATCGTATTTTCTTATATCTTACATGTATATATAAAAATATACAAGTAAAATGAAATGTTGACTTTAATGTGCAATAGCCCTCTAAAACTAATTTTCATATTGATTATATGCCCTTTCTGTACTATAAATTATAACTGCTTATAATAAATTGCTCTAAACTACGTCATTTCAAAATTAAACTTTGTCATATGATTCTAGAATAATGCTAATTACGCAGTCAGTTACATAACGCTTCAAACAATCCTAACATTCACATTTCAGAAATGAAACTTAAACAAACAATAAAGATAAAGTGAAAACATAAAAGAATCATTTTTAATCTAAATTTCGAAGTGAAATTTCAAATTTTGTTCTCTCATATATTTGGCTTACTGTCTGCTTCTTTTCTTGCTTACTTCAAAAACGTGAAATTTTTTTTTAAAAAAAAGTACGCATATTTTGTCCAAGTTTTTATCAAAGTCTAAATCTGGACCAATCTTTTGTCTTGGATCCAGTTTTACAAAGAATTTTCAGCTGAACCATGGTAAAAGCTCTTGACAACAACGTCGAAGAAGAAACTTCAGCTTTCAGCGTATTCACAAATAATCAGATAAACTATTATTTACAATGTTTTGAAATCTAAGAGATTCACATAAAGTCCGATATCTAAGGTTAGGAATCTAAGAAGCTCTTAAAGTCTGATACATAAGTCTGAGAAATGCTTTATTAAAATTTATCTATGGTATGTATAAAATGATCACAGTCGAATATTTTGTATTTTTAGTATCACGAGTATCTTGATTGTTCATTTTCTTTGAGAAGACTTTCAGATAACAGCTAGCTTCTGGGAGAAAATAATATAAGCATTTTTAAATTGATTTGTTTTGTTTTTATAGCGTCATTCGTAAATTAAATCAAATTAGAAATTTATAGATATATCCAGTTACTTCATTTGCTGAGCTCTTCTAACGTAAAAAAAGAGTGTATAGAAACGACTGTTAGGAGTCTGCCTAACTAATATTATCATTCATATCTGTATCGATTATAGACATTTTACATCCATCGGCCGATATCGAATAGTGACTAAAGGAGAGATCATGAAAACTATCAGCGGAGCCATCAAACGATTGGATTTGCTCCGCAAACAGTGTGCTGTGTTCCAGGTCAATGTCCGGCTGCATGCTACTTCTGTGACATTCCCAGCACTGTCTGAAATCGATCTGTCAACACTGTGCATATAGTCTACAGATAGTTCTATGTAGGTTCTGGACATTCGCAACTTTGAAAAGGCGAGAATATTAGAAAATTATGCTGAACTGACTTTGGATAAGCCTGAACTGATGAAATGTATGTCACAAAAGAATATATTTTAAGTTTATGAATCATTTATTAAACACTCTCAAAATATTAATTGGATTCGAATTAAATGGAAAAAGAAAAAGATATTTAAAAAAAGTCTGAAAGGTTTCAGAATTTAAATTACGTCCAAAGGAGCGTTTATTTAACATTTTGTATTTTACAACTATTTATTAAATATCACATTCTTCGCCCTTAAACCATAAAATTCAGTTCAAAAGCAATATCGCAAAATAGTTTTAAAATGAGCATATCCTTTAGAATTTCCGATACAGAGACTTGCGCGTTGGAGATAAAAATGTCTTTTCTGTACGACGCTGTCATTGCAAATTTGGCATATTTGTTATAAGCGATAATAACGCCAAATGTGGTTTACGCACTTCGTTAAAAGTATTTGAAATTATGAACTATGACTTTTTTCCGCTCGTTTACAACGAAAAAAACGAAAGGAAAATAGGTTGCTATAAATTAAGAAGTCCTCCAGGTGAAGAATTCTCGGCGAGAACTGAAAAAAAAATGCGCCAAGATAAAATTTTGAATTTGCCCGTAAATTTTGCACCAAATTTTACAAAATTTAATATTCAGGCATACTTTGAATCGTAAAATCGGAATATAGAAAAAAATTGGCATGTCATTTCAGAAAAACGCCGATTTTGTATCAAAATACCTATCTTAGAACAATGCTGTATATAAATCTAATACATATCCTAAGTCGCGCTTCTGAGACATAAAAAACGCAGTTTGAATTTCATCAATCGGCCCAGTAGAACCCTATCCCATTTTTTTTCCGCAGTGTACATTTACTTTTAACATCAATAACATAACCCATCAATAATTATGATGCCTACTGTTCTCAGTTACACGAAACGTAAAAGAAATCTTTTGATCGCAATGGATAGTTTAGAAGAGTTTCCCAACTCTTTTTTACGTCAGCTCCTATTAAAACAAGGATATGTTTTATCGATCTTGTATTTTTCGCTATAATGTGCAGTATGCAATATAATTATAACACAAACATTAAATAACTTAACAATTACATTAAGTCTATAAGAAAATGTTCTGAAAAAAAAAACGGTTTATTAGATTTATGTTTATTACTTTTGTATTACTATTATATTTAATTTTACGAATATAAACCAGTTTTCAGGAAAAAAATCACAAATTTTAATTGCTCAAATATTCGATTTTAATAATTGTTCCCTGTTATAGCTGCAGTTGATGTAATGATGCATTAATATTTCTCATATAGTTGTTGAACTTAATTCTTAAAGCACATCTTTCAAAAATATTCAGCCTGTTTTTTGTTTTCCGAATACTTGACTAAAGGCTGCTTCTTCCGGGTAAAGAAAATGGCAAAGTGAATAACATTGATACAGCAACAACTTTTTCTTTATTTTGGGGTATTTCTGTTCAATGATTTTTAAATTCCCAAAACTTCGCATATCCGTGTGGTTTGAATAAGACTTGATTTTGCTAATTGTCGGGTAATTTATAAAATTAAATAACTAATTATTGATATTAATAATAAATGTTTTTGTAATCAATAGGATCTTCATTATGTCGATCAATTGCTGGTGCATATTCGACTATCGAGCCCTTGATCATAAATGACTACCTTAAAAATCTCATCGAATCCTAGGAGGTCAAAACCGACCCCGTTGGGAATCCCTGGTTTAGAATTATTTTTGTTTAGTTAAAATCTTGGTATTCTTTATACAGAATTGACTAAATTTCTATCAAGATTTAATAACACTTACAAGGAAAGGAACAAACGAGTGTAATGAATGTGTTTTACGCTTCACAAGAAATTGGAAGGAAGAAGAAATTCTTTTGGCGGGGGGGGGGGAGTATAAATAAATTTTTACCAATAGATGGCGCTTTACCATATCTACACTAACGATTCCAGTCAGACTAGAATTAAAAACAATCTATCAGTCGGAAGAAATCCGTTACACATAAAAAAGAAAAGTAATTATTCGGGCCATTACATCAACAGAAGTTGCTATTCAATAATATCTGCTGCTATTCTGATCGATAATGTCGTACAGCGCCATCTATCGATGAAAACTTTAACTAAATTTTTATCCTGGGGAAGGAAATCTCTTCTTTGCAAGTTCAGTTTGGTTCAAATTGTACTCTCTTACTCGGAGGTCTACCACTAGCTCGTTTTTTGATAAGTGCATGAAATCTTTAAGGGGCTTTGAATTCTACTGTACATTTAGAAATTTGTCTTAGGGAAAAAAAAAAAAAAAAAAATTTTTATGGTGTGCGTGTGGTTTTGGGGAAAGGGTCTAAAATAAAAACAAAGTTTTTGTAACCAGGAGTAGCTCAATTTCATAATGGACTATCTTAATAAATAATTAATTAACTAAGACTAGATTATTATTTTACGTAGAAAATGCCAAATTTATTTTGCTTTTTACTTTAATAATTGCTGTTATTTTTTAAACAGGGTTTTATTATTTGCCTTCTATTAGAACTAGACTTAGAACCAGTTTTATAAAGCATAGTTAATAATTTTTTAGTTTTAAAATGGCTGTTTCTTAAAGCTATTTCTTCTAAAAGAATACAGCTGAAAATCATCACCAAGAATATGGCGTACCACCACCATTTGCAAAACTTTTGTAATTTTATAGCTTTTCTTATAAAAATTGAAAGCTTGAAATGTAGAAATATAAAAGCATCATATTCTGCTTTAATGCAGCTTGCGTGAAAGGTAATTATGCAATCAGTTGTGTGGTTTTCAGTTACTATGAAAAAGAATTGTGTGTTATAAAATAAAGTGAGTAATATGAAAGAAAAGATGCAATGCTACTGGAAAGAAATTTAATGCAAGTGAAACATTTTAATAAGTGCAATGCTAAATTATTTGTACATTTTGCTGATACACTGGTTTAAAACACAGGTTTGTTAAAACTTACATGCTATTACACACTACAAAAGATAACTTCATTTCAGAAACAGAAACACTAGCACTTTCAGTAAAGCCTTCCAATTCTTTCCTGCATTTAGGTATTCTGATAAAATATTTTGTGAAGTTTAGATTAGCAACGATAGCATCGTTAAACGTAAAACTTTTCATGAACAATACCGAACAGCATTCTTACTGCACATTGAAAACTTTATGAATAAAATTTTGACAGTTCTTAATTCGTAAGTATACGAATTGAGATAAAAGCCATTCTAACTCGAAAGAAAGACATGAAAACATTATCCAATACTTCTAGCACTGTATCTTCCAAAGTTATTTTAAAGATGAGATGAATATAAAGCATTTTGCATCACTTTTATATACCTTTTAAAGGAATAGTTTTTACTGGTCTAGAAGAAATTTTACTCCAAGCTCAATATTTAAAAAAAAATTAAAATAAGTTAAGGCACCAAAACGTTTTTCGACGTTTTCTGTATCAATAGGGTTAGTATATATACTCAGTTATGTGTAAATATAAATAATAAAGGTATTCTGAAAATCCCATGTGAAAATTAGAGTAAAAAAGGAAAATGTCACAGAATGAATCTGTTGATACATATGTACCAGTTCGTAAAATATTGCGAGTAATATTTTAATCCATATAGTGAAAGAGATTACGCTAATACCTGTACCTGTAAAGCATCTTTCTGTTTATTATTAAGTAATTTTGCAACTTTTAAAATATATAATTTAGATAAATATTTGACCAAAATGTGTACAAGGTCTCTTACGTTTACTCCAGCTTACGTTAAATATAAGGTTAAGCATAAGATTAAAGAACCTGTTTCCTTCAAGTTTCTCCTCAAAAAGTTGCATTATTTTGTGCAAGATGCTTAACAAAATATTTTGTATAAAATTTCGAAGGTAAAGTTTTATAATGCACTCTCAAAGTTAGGAAAGTTTGGCTCTCAAAGTTCGGTTTATATTCAAAGTAAAATATTACATTTGTCGTCGTTTCTTTTCTGAATAGTAAATAAAAGGACGTTTGAATTTAACTCACTTTAGATTTTTTATGAACTTATTCTCTGAAAAATAGTTTTTTTGATTTTCCTAGTTTTTAGGGGTAATTCATTAAGTTATGAAAGACTTTTAACCTGTCTCCTTTTATTATCGTCAAGCCTTAAATTTAAGTAAAGAATTATGACAGGAAGTCACACGAATGTTTTTTATGTCTGATAATATGATGTGTCTGATAAAAATCCTTCATAAATTTTAGCATACCTAAATCAAGTATAGTTGTGTCAGCACTGCGCCTTGATTCATTAGAAAGAAATATCTGTGGTGATTCGCACAGGCGAAATTCTGAGCTAGCTGAAGCGATTCACAGATATCCTCTGTGGAAAAGGACGATAGAGCAGGTACTCGATACTCGGAGGTCTACCCTAGTCTTTTCCACAGAAATTTCAAAGTTAGAAAACATGTTTGTTGTTGCTTGTTAACATTCCGTTACTCTTTAGACCACAAACAAAAATACAGTCATATTGCATTTTAAAGGGGACATAACATATTCTAGAATACATCCGAGTATTGCATGATCTTGGCTTATTACATGATGTTAAGGTTACCTTTTCACTCTTCCTCTTACTTTTAACTGAAACAGAGAGAAGATAAATTTCCAATAAGAAAAGATTAGATTAAATTTCCGATTTAAGGCTTAATTTGCTGTATGTTACTAATATCACAGCTTCAAAGTTTATCATTTAAGATCAATGAATTAAGCTAAACATAATTTTTAATGAACAAACCTTAATTAAGGAATTAACGTAATTTTTTTGTTTATATTAAATAAATTTAATTTCTTTAATTTTAAATAGTAAGCGAGTAATGTTTTAGTGATATTACTCTGCTGGCCCTGAGAATTACTTTAAGGTATTAATTGCATCATTTTTGAAATTTAAATGAGGAACATTTAAATTTCTAATTTTCAGAAATGTTGCTGCGGCTGTAACTGATTGCAGCTTACAGAAGAAAGCCTACATTGTTAACTTCATCCAAACATAAGGCTCCATAATGGCACAACTTTGTATGTGTAAGTGGTGTACCCAACTGTTTTAGTGCATGTAGGAGCAAATCCAGACCAAGTTCCCTGTGACAGACAAGTGCGGACACGAGATCCTGATCTCTGGTAGCCACTCTGGCACACGACAACGCAGCGTCCGCCTGGTCGATTATCACATTCTGTAAATTCTGAATTGGGTGGTGGTGTAAGGACAGGACAATTACGGTTTCCATCATCACCATTACCATTATCGCCATTATCTCCGCCCCCACTTCCTGAAATAATAAGGAAAATAAAATTATACCTTTCAATTCTTTATGAAGCTCATATGTTCATATCCATCCAATATAGACACAATAATTATGTAAACATACTTCCAAAACTACTTATATTTAATTTATTAATAATTTATTATGTCTAATTATTATTTTTTTTTACTCTGCTGTAAAATTCAAAATACCAAGAATCTTATTACAAATTTAAGAGACTTGATTATCTGCCATTATAAATTTCTCAATTAATTTTCTCAGTTCGCTTACAGATGCTCAATCTTCCAATTTATCATTTGATGAAGCCATGATTAATTAATCTAAGCTTGTCATTCATTGATGGAATGACATTTGGTTAAAATTAATTAAATATTTGAAGAGGTACACTAATTTCCCGTTTACGGTATTGCAGAAGATTTAGATATTTTAATTAAAATAAATAAATATATAAAAGGGAGCGACGTGGAAAATAATCCATTTAAATCTTTTAAAACTATCATAAACTTCCATTCTTCCGTTTTTCAAACTGAAACTTTTTTAAAACTTAAAATTTCATTATTAAATAACAACTAGCATCTGTTATTGCAATAACAATTACCTTTTATAGTAAATATATTATAGTTTAATAAATAATTACTTAAAGTACATTTTGTAAAACCATTATAAGGCATTTCTGTCGCCCTCTTGTCATGTCTTCGTGGTGTGGTGGTCTGCACGCTGGGCGTGTATTCCAGAGGTCCTCTGGAATACGCGCAGGTCAAGAGTTTAGAAATTAATATAACAAACTAAAAATATGTATCATATTTTGTCATTTTTTGTCACCAATATTTACTAGAATTATAAAAATCTCACGTGGACACTGCATGACTTCCCTGTACGGCCTATTAAGTTTTATACATTTTTCCTGCATTTCATTTAAATTTACTTCCTCGAATTTCATTAGAGATATAATTCTCATTCGATTAATTCATTCCTCACTTCGTGGCAAGCCATAAAGTACCAAATACAGTTAAAAACATTAAAAAAAAATTACAATTAAAACTAGAGTTTCTACGCAAAAACAAGCGATTCTGTCAGCGGGAAGAAGGCAGATTTTTTCGGTGCACAAAACTGAAAGTTTACTTTTTGTCCCACTCGGCAAAAACATACTGAGGTTGGTGCACAAACTGAATTAATTCACTATTCTACTAACAGTTTCAAATATAAAAGGGCGGCTACGTTAGACTTAGCTCTACTTAAACATCTTTTAAATTGTTCGTAATATTACAACTAATGCTTGAAGATTAAGTAAAGACATAAAAATCCTTAACCAGAGCAAAAAAAAAGGTAATTAAATCACTTTTAAAGCAAAAAACTACAAATACCGACATATAAGAATAAAAAAAAAATGAGCTCGCCGATCAGTATAACAAAGTGGATATGTGTATTTAATTATGTTTGTTGCGGCATGTAAGGAAAGTTCACAACTACATGTTATAGTAATCTCATATACAAAGTTTCAACTTTCTGAGGCTACTTGTTTTTGATAGATACATACGTGTGAAATACGTATTTGTATACGTAAGTACAAATGTACGTACAGATATACGTATTTGTATACGTATGTACAGATGTCGCAAAAAATCTCTTCTGAATTCCTTTTATATCTATTTCATACACTGTTTAGGAAAAAGGAGTCTTTTATTCTATCCGTACGTATAGATGCCATGTTAAAACATCGTTAAAATGGATTCGAGAGCAGTCAAAGTGAATATTTTCGTGGAAATATGATATCCGAAATTTTCCGCGATTCTAATACTTCCTTTACTTTTTACAAGGAAGTAATTAGTCTATAACTGATTTTTTTAATAATTCATTTTATTGGTGAATCCCTAATATCTTAGCAAATAAGCATCTGATATTTCCCATTCAAACTTAAGATTTTGTTATGATGACGTGTAGTAATTTTGCTACAGTACGGAATCAGATTTCCGTCACTATCAGTTTCTGGTTAACCTCTAAGTAAATAAAACTTGGTTAATTTCGAAATCTAATCACCAGTATATTATGCAAAGTTATCATAATCTTGCTTTTTGTTTTTTCCAAAATCAAGTAAAGTTAGGCTCCAAGATTCTTAAAAGAAGGCCTAGAAGGAATCTGAATTCAAGTGCCTTGCTTTGCATGCGACTTAGATGGACTGATTCGATTTGGTATATCTAGTTGTGGCAAAGCTCTTAAGGGCTATCTGTTTCGTGGTGGACTTTCTCAGGAAATATGGCTCGTACATACGTTACACATGGGGAAAATCACGAAAACGCCCATGCAGCTAGCCCGTTCCCCGGATTTCGAACATGGAGGTAAGAAAGGAAGGAGTGGCCAAACCGGCATTAGAAGTGAAGCACTGCTCCGAAGCTTTGGTCATCAGATGGGGTGTTTTTTGTTTACATTCAAATCTCGCTTGACAGCGGTCTGATAATATTTCGACACACGACAGTTCCATACAAATCGAAAAATGGGACACGTCCGCATAAAAGAAACATTCCTAGTGGGATGAATAATAATAATAAATAGCAATTTGCATAGTTTAATGACATTTACGCAAAATCACATCTTGGATATTTTTCGATAACTAACAACAGCAATTTTGATTATGAATTTGTTTTATAAAATTCTAAGCTGTTGAACCACAAAAATATAGATTTTAGCCAAAAAATTATGCTTAAAGAATGAAAAATACCTCACCTTTAAAATTGTATACATCTTTCGATACCCTTGATAGAGTATTCGCTACTTTTATTTTATGTTCGAAACGCCAAAATGTTTTAAATAAAATAATTTTTTTCACATCCACATATTATTGTGAAATGTACTTTTTAAAAGGAATGTGAATTACTTTTCTCGAAAAATATAGTGAATGCACAGAAATTAAAGATTTCCACATGCCGGAAATGAAACATATGAAATATGTATGGGTATTTATGCACGTGCTTGCAAAAAGCCTTTAACAAAATACGTAAATATTTATTAAATTATTTATAAAGGATTTATTCATTCATAAACAACTGTGAAAGTTACTGTGAAGAAATCTAATTATTAAATGTATCTAAATTTATAATGATTATAAATATTATCTAAATATATAATAAACCTTAAAATTGAATTGTAAACATAAATTGATATCCTGTTGACAAATACATTATAAAACTATTTAAGCAAGAATTGTTCGTACTGGAAAGCAATCTGTTAAAAGGTATTGTAAAGCAATTTCTATGAGATGCGTACTTAAGAAAGAAATAAAGAGGAGTTTTGGAATATGTATTGTTGAAATTAAGAGCAAGAAAAATCTAATAAGTATAATTAAAAGAATTATTCCCTTACATTTTATAATAACTTAGTTACAAGTTTTAAATAATATTTAAAAAATAATCCTTATTTTATTCCCTTTCAGAAATATTCAGAGAAAGTTAAGTACTATTTAAAGTATTTCGCTATTAAAATAAAAGATGCTCGAATTTGAAATGGACTGAATGGAGCATTAATTATAAATTTACTTATATTTTTCGATTTAAAAGATGCCTCAGAAGCTAAAAAATCATGTCATGTGTGAGAAAGTATTTTAGGAAGAAGCTCTGTAAATAGAAAAGAATAATGCATAATTTTAGTAATAATACAATAAACTTTGATCTTAATTTTTACAATCCTTAACCGAATAAAATTGAATTACCTTAAAATTTCTTTCTAGTATAATTAACGAAAACTTGTGAAAATATTTCATTCAAATTAAACCATTCTGGGCAAATTGTTCTGTGAAAAGTATAGCGTTTAATTCCGTTCTGAATGAAATGTTGTTTAAAAATGTATTCTTTTCATATACTTAGGACTTTGAAGTATTATAGAAAAAGAAAACATATACATTTATATGAATATTTACGACGTAATTACAAAATATTTACATGCGATCGTGTGAAAACCCCTTGAACTTAATGGTAAATTGCCCAATGTTTTGGTCACCAACGAAGGGATCGCCAGTGCTTCAAAGCAGGGTATGGGGGAAACCGGTTTAGGACCACTCCATCTAACTTCCTACCTCCATGGATTCGAACCCCGGACCGAATTACCAGTTTTCAGACTTAAATGGGCAGTAGTTCTTTCCTCTATAGAGGACTTTTACAGAACTTTCTCATAGTCAGATAACCTTGGTTTGGATTTTTACAATCAAGTAGTTTAATTCCGGGCATACTACGTATTTAGTGCTGAACGTTCAAGAACACAAGAACAATGTTTCATAGTCCTGGCGCAACCTTGAAGAATTAGTAGGAGAGTTTGTGAGTTTCATGGCGCATAACCTTTAAGGTTACAATGCGCCAAACGTAAGATGAAACTTTGAATCTATACAAGAACTAGTAGGTAAATATCAGCTTTACTTTATCAAGAACTATTAGTTGAATGCCAGGCTTAGGTATGCAAATTGATCAGCTAAAATTCGTTCACATAAATGGGAGCTAACGAATCTTTAATGTAAACTAAAATGCTTCTATATCTGCAGACTTTTGCTAACAACCTAATAATAATAAATTACAGCACAAATACTTTAAATTCAGGAAAGAAATGACACTTTTGAAACTTCCCATCTGCAGCTCAACTATTTTAATCAAAATGAACATCAATTACAAAAGAACGAGATCTTTAAACCCAAACGATTACAACTATTAATTCAAATTACAGCGAGATGATCATACAGCACTAAAGTTTATTCAATAAATTCCAATAGCAGCTGCAGTTCAACAGCATGATTTTGCAATGTTCTTCATTTGTAATATTCGGATCAAATTATAAATTAGTCAAATTTGTGTTATTTTTAACAGAAAAAGAGTGTGAGGAGATGAATGGGAAGAGGTGAATTGATTGTTAAAGTTGAAAAGGGAAGAAAACTTTATTGAAGATTTTTGAGAAATGTTTTATCGTAGATTTCACTTACGCTGTACTACAGGGCTTCTAGCACGTGACAGGAACGCCAAGTTGTAAATGTAAAAGCTTTCAACCACCTTAAAATCTCGATTTGAAATTTATCCAAACCTTATCACAAAATTTTAAACAATTCTGCTCATGTTCAAACCTTTTTTTGTGAACTGTATTTTGTAGTATTTTGTAGTAGTTGATAGATTTTTCTTATAAAAAAGGCAAAGAAAATTAGGTACTTTTCCGTTTCGCTGGTGCATATCTCGCCAAGCAGACTTTGTTGGCGACAGCATACACTATACACATAAAAAATGTTAACAAATGTCAGATCTAAAAATTTTTTATTTTGATATGGTTTGATTTTAATATGGTTTAAAATTTTGTAAAAAGCCAATAAATTTGTAAAAAGACATTAATTTAAGAATTTACTATGCTTTCATGGTTCTCGCCGGTTCTTATCACGTGACCCCAAGTGATCTCATCTCACGTAAACTACGCTGCAAAAATCTAATTCTCTCAATAATTATCTACATTAATTTCAAGTTAAATCTTAATTTGGAATAATAGTCTAAATGCAAGAATTATTTCAATTCCTACGAATAGCTTACTCAAAAATTATGTAAAACTGCAGTGCTTTACTTCGCTAGTGCATTCTCATTAGAATGGATGAATTTAACCCTTGATTTTGCCTATATTTTCACCTTCCGGTGAGCGGTGTGATTGCATCCTAATTGACTTAATTACCGCGAATGGTCTTAGGGCATAAAATTTAACTATCTTGTAAAAATTCTATATAATTGTATGCCGATATTGAAAGAAAAAATCAATCTGATAAGAAATGGCTGCGACTTGTTTTGAAAATGAAGCGTAAAAGGTTACCAGCGAAGATATTCCGTTTGGCGTCAGTTGTACCATTATTGGCGACTTTATCGTTTGCGCCGGCAGAACGGAAAAGTACCGAAAATTATAACTGAAATTCAAAAGAAAAAAGTTTACTTTTTTACATGGGTAAAAGAGAAATTTTTTCGCGCCACAAGGCAGTTAGGGGATAAAAAAAGTTGTAAGTAAATTTATAGGTATACTAAAATAGTTATGTAATTATGACTAATTTCAGTAAGCAAGACAGTTTGAAACAATGTCTGTCTTAAGACTTAATCATGTCTGTTTTAGCCTGTCTTAAGGCTTAAGATAGGCTAAAGCGATATCCTAGCATACCATTAATAAACCGTCACATGCTAATGACATAGAATAAGCTATACTAATGATTCTAGACTTTGTGATGATATATTTTTCGATACTTATTTTCTTTATATAAATAGAAGGAATTTTAGAAAATAAAGTGTAGAATATCTTACAGTGATTTTAATTATTACGAAACATATAAATTTATATTTTAAAATTTTAGCTCCTACGAAGCATTCGAGGTAACCAGTATCCATATTAAAAGAAAAGAGTTATTTGAGTGAGAAACTAAAAAAAATTGCAATTTTGATTCAGGTTATATTCATTTTTAAGATATTGAAAAAATAATGATGTCAGTCGACAGGCAATTTTAAAGCTGTAAATGGTAGTGAAAAATTATAAGCCGTTTTTCGCCTATAATTTACAGCTACATAATTAAATTCGGTTTTTGACTTTAATTTTCGGTTTGATAACATCTTATATTTTCTCGAACTGAATGTGATCGTAGATCGACAACTTAAGCCAAAGACCTCTCTGCTATATATAGAATTTAAATGTCAGAGGTATTCAATACGCAGTGCTGCCATCTATGACAAACAAATACAACTATAATCAGAAATACGTCTCATAACGCATTTATTTTTATTTCTATGTCCGCATCTATATTTCTCATATATCATTTTTAATAAAGTCCTACTATTTCTTCCTATGTTCGCAAATACATCATGAATGTCAATAAATTTACAACATTTTATCTTTCATATCTTATCAATGTATAAGAATCTCGAGTAAGAATTACGCATTAGGAAATGACATAAACGTATATAGTCGTTTGGGAAATGCTTGTCCTCAAATGTGAATCATGTCTTTGCTACAGACGTTAAATGTATTTTTTCGGACAGTCTTATTGTATTAAAAAATGAAAATGTTTTTATTTAAGCCATGTACACATTCCTTTTAATGACTCAAAATAGTAATTTGTCTTAAATATTGCTGTTAGATAAGTAACGATTTCCTGTATCTTACTTTCACAACGAGGTGGTTCACTGGACCACTGTCCATTTGACCCGCATGTTAATGTTCGTTGGCCCCTCAACTCATATCCGCTTTCACAACTGAAGACGCATGTCTGTCCAACTTGGCCGGGAGCGCATGTTCCCAAGTAGAAACCATTGCTTGGGATATTCAAACTTTCACAACTCCTTGCTGCTTCTCCTAAAATAGACAGAGTGGAAGAAGTTTTAGTATTATTTTGTACATCATTAAATGCAGAGTTCAACTATTCGCTATAAAAATTAACATTCCATGTACCGTTCATAGATTTGTTTCAAACATAAAGGGAATGGGCATTATGGTCTTGTTTAAGTTAATAATATTTCTTACAGGGATGTGTTATTGCTCAGTTTTTCTCTAAGACTAATGAGGCCCATTAAGGTTTTAAAACGCGAATACAGCTTTTTTAAGACTTGTTTAATGAGCTCAAAAGCAAAATGTTGCAATTCTAAAAATTCTTTTGTTTAGATATCCGTACTCAAAATTGATTTAACTATGAATCTTTCTTATTTGATGTAAATTTATTTTTAAAGTGCGGTTGATATTAAATGAAAACAGAAGCATGAGCAAATTAAAAATATATATTTATAATTTGGTATTACTTACAGAGATACAACTGGGTATATTACATATATGTAGTTAGTATGAAATTACATTACATGAATCAAAAAATATATACTTGTTTGCTATACCAGTTTGTTTCTGTATTTGAAGTTGCTTCCGTTTATGAAGAACAGTGATTAACAGTGGAATTTCTACTGGACATTTCTTTTGAGTGATACAAGGTAAGTTTTCGAAATAGAAAAGCATGTTCAGATATTCTTCTTCGAACATCAAAAGGTAGAATGGATGCAGAAAAATTCCGAAACGAATACCCATGACTAACCTTGTAGAGTCATTAGGTTATTTGAAGGAGGGGGCTTGAAAAATGAGCAATGCCCTCGCCGGGACTCGCACCTCCACTTCTCGAATGCGCGCCAAGTGGGCTACCGTTACACCACGAAGGCGTACTGGAAGGAAGGAGAAAATACCTTATAAACTTATGTGAGTGACCCAATTTACTAATAGCAGGCTTCACACGGGCAGCACTTTTCCACTCTGCAATTACATTAATTAGACAGTTACTAGACGTAGTACTTTGGCATACTTTGGCACAAAAATTACCTACTTATTCTTATTTCTGTATCCTATATAGGTACAGTTTACAAAAAAATTTTTTAAAAAATTGAAAAATCTAAGATCATTGTGGCTGGAATCGAAGTTAGAATATTATTATGTACCAAATGTTATATATGTGAAAGACAAAATACTTACTGACGCAACTGGGGGCGGTGCCAGACCACACTCCTCCATCTTGGCAGTATAAAGTGGATGGCCCATTCAAAGTGTACCCAGCTTGACAAGAAAAGCTGCATATTGATCCCATTGTGGCATCTGTACACGAACCTGACAGAGCTCCATTCTCTGGTCTGTATAGCGCAGGACAGGAAGCAGCTGAAAATGCAGCGAAATTAAATTGCTGGTGCAATATTTGTATGGAAAGGCAGTTTTGAATTCGATTTTGAAGTGAAAGCAACACATTGAATTAAAATCTCCGTTTCAAATACTATGCATATCTTTCTCTACTTAAGTTTAATGTTTTGGCTTCTGAAGTTTAATGCAGAAGTTTTAATGTTTTGGTCGACTAGTACACATTATTACGAAATACAAAATGTTAAAAAAAAAATTGTGCTGTGCACTACTTTACGATTTTAAAAACCCATGCATCTGAAAATGCTAAAATATTGAAGTGTAAGAAACTCACCCATGCAATAAGGTGGACGACCAGACCATCTACCATCGCTTCCGCAGACAAGACTGGATTGTCCTACTAGACGGTATCCGGCATCGCAGTAGAAGTAGCATGTCTGTCCACTAGCTCCTGGGTTACACGTGCCTGATATGCTGCCGGATGCAGGTGCGAGAAGAGTAGGGCAGGAGACAGCTGAAAATAATCTCTATAAATTTACTTGTGAGACACATTTTGTTTTAACCCTTTGCGGCACAGCGTATCCGGTCTGGACACACCTAAAAATTTCCTTCTGTACGCACAGAAAAATTGAATGAAAAAAGATTTGTAGGTATAGGTTACTCTGAACCTTCTTTATTTATAGATGGCAGTTCAACACAAACCAGTTCATATATTTTAGCCATATTTAGTTTTCTAAGACCCTCATTTTTCAAAGAAATTCTACAGATTTTTTTAGGGTATAAAAGGAATTGTTTGAAAATAAATTTCTATGTTATTTTTTGGGCTGTATGCTAATATTCTTATTCTATAGTAGTTTCAAGTTTTTACTTTGAAATCTTGCCTAAAATCAAAAGGTGAACCCTAGGTGTGCCTAGACCGGGTTCACCGATAATCTAGGACAACTGAGAGTCCGTATTCTTTGTTTCTCCGCATCTCATCGATCAGTTCATTGACAAAAATGCGCGTTTAAGCACTCTTTTCGAAGCTCTATTCAATCAGTGTGCCACTTTGGGCACACCCACAGAATTAAAACGATAAGTGCTATCTTCACAAAATGTTACTTGTGTATTCCTCTAGGCCTAATTAGACTGCCAACCTATTTTTTTTTTTTTTAATCAAAACTCCGACTTTAAAAGGTAGCGTGCCAGAAAGGGTTAAGTTAAAATGAATAAAGATGTCATACACACTTTGACACGATGAGTGTATTATATGATCGGAATGAGTAATGCTGCTTAACACCGTATATTTACTATCGTAATTGAGATGAATTAAAGTAAAATAGTGGTACAATACATATTCCTAAGAATAGACTAATTATAATCGGAATAGCCCGTAACAGAAACGTGCAGTGCTTAGGTATTCACCGTTCATAGTTTACATCATACAATGAAGTATTAGCATGGTAGTTTGATTACAATGAACTTTTAAAAGTTACGAAGCAAATTTTTAACACAGACATATAAAAACATTTAATTTTCATTACTTCTGTCAGGTAAATCCATGAAAGGTTTGAAGAGCCAAATAAGTGAATATCAAGAACAGTTATAAAGACGAAGTGAGAAATGAAATTGAGTAAATGTTTTCATAAAATAATTCCTTTAAAATTAAAAAAACTTTTCCAAATCATCAAAAAGAAAGAAATTTAATATTACAATGTGCAGTAAAACCTGTGTTTTAAAATGGAATTATTATTTATGATTACTATTTTGGTTAGTAAAAAATCAGGATAAGACACCATTATAGAGAAAAAAAAAGTTCAGTAAACAATATTTAAAGGGACTGTTAGAATTCAGCAATTTTCAGAGAAATTGTATAAATTCCTAAATTTAAAAGCAGACTTTAGATATGATATCAGTATTTGCAGAGATTTTATAAAGATTGAAAAGCCAATGAGACTAAGAAATGTTTATGACTTTATTAGCTAAAGAAGACTGTATTAGCTAAAGTACCCGGCATTACCCGGACTTTTCGCAGAGTGAAAAGTTTTCATTTAGGGAGATGGGGAGGGGTAGTTTCTTCGAAATCTCAAGTAGACAAGTTTTTCTTATTTTGGTTCAAAGTAAATTGCGCAAAATTTTGCAAAGCTCGAATAAAACTGTAGATTTTACTTCGATGAAAAACAAACATTAATTTTATTATAATGCTTTAGGTATATAACGCTTTTTTGCTTGTCTGCCATCCGGAGCAAAAGTAAACTATACGGCGCTCCAATTCTTGAACAAGTTAATACGCGTCACATGAAGTGTGACCCTGTGTCTTCATGATACTTATAGCGAGTACAAATTTTGGAAGAATGCTATTCATAAATATTTAAAATAACAAATACAAAGAAGAGATAATGATAATCTACCTGTACATATAGGAAGTGTGCCTGACCATTGACCATTAGCTTGGCAAACTAAGGTTCCACTTCCTCCAGTAAGAGTGTATCCAGACTGGCACGTGATGGTGCAGATTTGCCCTGTAGTTCCAGTACTGCATGTTTCTGATACAATACCTTGATCCACAGTAATAGCAGGGCACCCTGATATTGTACCTGAAAACAGAAACCTAAGATTGATTTAAAAGTACCGCGTAAACATCCGCGAAAAAACAAGCATCTACAATAAAACCAGAAGCTGATTCTCAAATAAGGGGTTCAAATTTGATTTAAGTGTTTAAATTTTTAGTGTACTCATTGTAGATAATTTTTTGCTTTTGACTTAAATTAATTTGAAGTCAAAATTACTGGAGATTTATATATAAGCTAATAACAAAAAAAAAAAAAAAAAAAAAAAAAAAAAAAAAAAAAAGCTATAAATTCTTCCTTTCATCCAATTTCCAATTATAAAAAGGGAGTTTATCTTTATAAAGGACAAAATAAAAGCAATACACTCATAAACTATAGTAAAATGAAGTGACATGTGTATAATTTTAACATCCATCTAAAGGTGGGATGTTAAAAGAGATTTTTTAGTCATAATAATTAACTAACTAATTTGTAACTGTAAGTATTTCTCTTTAACATTGTAATGTTGCGCGCTTCCAACCTGCACGCAACAATAGTGGTGACTGCTAAGAACTGGAAAGTAGACAAAGTCTTGAGAAGGGTTTAAATCCCTTTTTATTCAACTTTAGAAATTACCGATGCGTGCTCTTGACGCTCACAAACTACGCCGACCCGGCGGTAAAATAAAAATAAGAAACTCAAAAAAGAATAATAACAAGTGACTAACTGCGAGGCTCTCTAAACGTAACTAACCTAACCGCGTTCTAAGATACCGCTGATAATTCAGCAAACTTCTGAATATTACGTTGAACGATTTAACAATCTGCCGAGGCAAGCACACAGGCCGAAACGCGTGGTTCTTCAATTTCTAACTAGCCACCTCCACGCTCGTGAAGCAAGAAAGCACACTTTCGAACTCGTTTCCCTTCTATTTAACTCAGATTACTTCCGCTGACAATTTGAATCCTTGCGCGTTCTACTAAAATTTACATACTTTGGCATTGGCAATTTCAGGGGAAAGTAAGGCTTGACAGGAAAGATAGTTTAAACTTAAGATAAATGTTAGTTAAAATAAATATAAACCCTACAACATTATAGAATATTTTAACAAGATACATAAACAGTGGGAGGAGTTTTAAATTAAAAGAGCTAAACAAATTTTTCTTTTATAGAATTTATTGTTTTCTGCTTTACTAATTATTTATTGTTACATATTTTCTTACTCCAACACTGTTTTTTTTTTTTTTTTTTTTTTTTTTTTTTTCCCAAAAAATAAATGTTATTTTGAGAAATGAACACTGCATTCTGGTCTGTTAAAATGCGTTAAACATTTTCACATCGTGTTTTCTCTTTTGCATTTTATGTTTCTTCATTTTCAGTCTTCAGGATAATGGCATTAAAAAGTTCTTTCTAGTACACTTTTTTTTTAAAATATTTTGTGAAAGAGGATATAACTCTGACTGGATAACAAAAGCAAAGTAACATGTAACATTTTGTTTTTCAATTGAGAATAAAGTTTTAGAGGCTATTCTATCTGTTCTCTCATTTCTTTACTCTTCTTTGAAAGTTCTAGAAGGTTAAAATTAGTAAGAGAAGACAAAGAAATATCTGACTGATTTGTTGCAGTATGCGACCTCTTCATAATCCAGCAACACTGGAAGAACCTCATCAACACGAACTTTGAAATCAATTTATCTTCTTGAATGAGTCTTTGAAATGAATTTAGCTTCTTGAATGAGTCTTTGAAATGAATTTAGCTTCTTAAATGAGTCGTTGAAATGAATTTATCTTCTTGAATGAGTCTTTGAAATGAATTTAGCTTCTTAAATTTATCTTGAATTTGAGAATTTTTCTTCTTGGTAGTTACTTGCTGGATAGATATATGTTTAATATTTTGTTTCTTTAACTTTAGATGTTTTATTCTTTCCAAAAAATAACGAATGGTGAAATAAGCAAATATAATAAAACTATGCCTTTCTTTTAATTCATATTTGCTTTCGTCACCTAACACTAGCCATTGTTATTCAATCTGCACCTTAAAAGGGCCTAATACCCATTGATTTGGATATTTAATGAAAATTTTATGAAATTTTTACTAAAATTAACAGAATCGCGATTTCTTTCGCAATTTAGTCGGTCTAACGAGGTCAAGGTCAAACTACTTGAGGGTTTAGCATTTTGCCAAAGAGAACGTTTTTTTTTTTTTTTTTTTATCAAGGCATCGATTGCGGTTATTTCAATAATAATTAGCCTTTAGAAAACTAAAGCGTACGCTAACCTGTATGCTTAAAATACCGAATCGTCCGTCCTTGTCCATTACACGCCCTTTCAGTTTCCTCCCCTCCCCGTCCATTAACGCACACACAGGTGTCAACATATCATATGGCATTCTTTCTACTTCCTAACAAAGAAGCTTCCCTTAGCCTTTTACGAGAAGCTTCTACTGCATATCTTAGGGGGAGGGAAGAAAATAACATCTCAGTCTCGGCCGTTTGTCTCATGCGTTTTCGCCTTCAAAGGGTTAATAAATTGTTTCTTCATTTCAAATGTCTCGATTGTTTATGATGTGGGGTCTTCAGATCTCGAATTAGAAAAACAAAATACGTATACGAAAAAGGCTTCCTAACAATGTCAATAAATCTTCATGAGATGTAAGACGAGAAGTTTAATTTTGAAGTGCTACTGCTTCATCATATCTAAGCTCTGTGATGTAATAATTGCTTTCAGATATTGTAAAAGTTATGTAGTAATAGTACTTAGCGAAAAATGTCGACCCTTCTCCATACATACACAATCAACAGAGCTTAATAATTTGAGGGAAGCAGTTTAAATTCACAGGACTTTCGTTTTTCAGAGATTATTCAAAAGAGAATATGTCGTTGTTTACTAATGTGTGACCTTATGTGTTTATAAAAAGTTATTATGTCTTTATGAACGCTTTTTATATAATTAAAGCGCAGAATGTTTCATTCAAACATTATCCGTAACTTTTGCAGTACGAGGTAATTGCATAGTTACCATACTTATTTGAATACTAACCCAACACCAGATGATGAGTTCCTGAAATGTAGTTTAAAGAGAAACAAACAGGCTTAACAGGCCTTTTTCTGAGGCGCATGGAAGGGTTTTCTGTCCTGATTTGAATGTACCATTAAAATTTATTATGCCTTTATTAATATCGTATATATGTAAGAAAGGATTTCAGTCCATGATGGTGTGTATGCAAAATATGAAGTTTCAACTGAATAACTGGATACCCACTTTTATTCTCTTACTATACTAATACACTTTGTGTCTTTGGAAGACGTGTAAGAAATCTTGTGGGATTTTTAATCTAGAGTAATGACTAAAAATAAAATGTGAGTTTTTACGCTAATTGAGAAATTTCTAAAGCAATAGTTATGAAATATATCATCTACATTAAGAGAAGTTATTGAATGATCAGAATTTTTTTTTTTTTAGGAGACGTACAAAAAATGTGCAATGTCCTCTCAAACCTGTACCTCTCTAATACGCGCTACCGTTACACCACGACGGCATGATGGAAGGAAAGACAAAATAAATTATGAAGTTTCCATTTCAAGTGATTATAAATGTAACAAGAAATATTATTAGCACATTATTTAAATTGCTTTGTCACATTTTATTAATTTTTATCGAAAATATTTTTCTTCACTAGATTAAAAGCTTCTTCAGCACTTTTTCAGATAGGTAAATATTATTAGAACAAGATGTTTACTACTAAGCGAGTTTGGAAAAGACTTCCAAGTGTATTTATTAGAGTAAAAACCTGTTAGATTCTGAAAAGTTCTTAAGATTTCGCAGTTCCTAAAATCAGTATTGCTGTACTTGTTCAAGAAGCTATTGATAAGCTTCATAGTCAAAAATTGCTAGAGATTTAAGAATTTGTTTCTAGACAAGAATCTTTCGGCAGAATAATATTCTATGAGAATAAGATTTTTTAAAGTCCGTTAGACAAATGAATTTCTAAATGAAATTTCGAAGCTCTTTTTTCTTAAATTTCAGCGATGAAATATTGATCCAACTGCTTTACGACTATACAGAGGCTGTTCGCACATTTTTTAGCCGATTTTGGTAAGCGGTAATAAAAAATCGTTTGCTGCAAAAGAAGTAATTGCAATTGTACTATGTTTTTTTTTTAGTCAAAATTATCGTCTGTGGCTTGAAAGTTTTGTTTTTATTCAAAATGGCGAATTTAACAAAGCAGTGGTTCGAAGGCTACATTTATGCTCTTTCCGAAGAGAAATATGCATACTCCATTATCCAAAAACGATGTGAGAGTCATGGTTTTGTGATATCTAAAGCGTCGATAGGTAATATCATCAACAAGAAAGGAAACAAACGTCAAATTGGAGCCTCAGTGGGACAAAAATTCCAAACAAGTATCCAAGGAAGAAACGGACATCTTCGACTATTGCAAAGGTACGTTGTTTAATGTTAAAAGAAAATCCCCCTAGTCAAAGGACAGTTGCAAAATCATTAAAATGCTCGGTGTCCACTGTAAAAAAAATGATAAACGTTGATTTAAATCTTTAGAAAGCGAAAAAACGCTATGTGCATCGTCTTCTTCCAAAGCATATCACTCAAAGCAGGGCACGCTGCAGAATTCTATATGAGAAACACTTATCTAAAGAAAAATGGAAAACAATTGTCAGAATAGATGAAGCATGGGTGTATTTAAATGACTGTAACAGAAAAGGATCCATTTATTATCATAAAAGGGGAGAAAAAAATTTAAGTACATAGTTCAAAGAATCGAAAGAAAGTTTTTCTAAGGGATTCATAAATGTTGCTGGTTTTTCTTATAATGACAAGTTAAAAATAAAGAGAGTGCAAAAAATGTCAAGATTAACTTCCAAGATACTATCAAGAACATATTTTATCTCGCCAATTTTTCTGAAGGAAATACCATCGCTTTATCCACAGTGCCATTAATCTGTGAGACTCCATCAGGACAAAGCTAGCAGTCACACATCAAAATCCACTGTAAATTTCCTAAAAGAAATGGAACAAAAAACTGGTATTCAAGGTCATACCCTTCACTGATATTCCTACTAAATCTCCCAATGTGTCACCTATGGATTTTGTGCTTTCGGACTTTTAAAAAACTTGCATTATCGAAACGTTGTCCCCAAACCCTAACAGGACTCTGGAAAGCTGTTCGGGAGAAATGGGATAGAATATTCTTCTGCCACTTCAAAGAGCATTATTATCCTGGAAATTGCGGTGTCGAAAGATAGTTCAGAATAAGGGATGTTAAATAGAACATTTAAAACATAAGAATTTTATGTAATTTAGTTTTGTGAATACAATATACTTCGTCTAAAAAATGTGTGAACAGCCTCTGTACAAGCAAATTTATATTAAAGGTAATGCTTATGTTCCCGCATTCCATTAATTTATTCTGTTAATTAATAAATATAGGTCTTCAAACTCTATAACATTAATACGGTCTGATTTTATAAATAATCATGTTTCCTTTAACGGTAATAAACTGCGTATTTCATATGAGCTTGATTCGTGTTATTTTGTGACAAAGTTTCTTTCTATGAACAGTTTATTGCTGTGGTATAAAAGTTCCATATAAATGTTATTTAGGTTGCTAATGGCTTATTTTCTTTCTTCGTATATGTAACTGATCCATTTCCTAAAGACAGAAAAGTTACAATGTTATAAAAACAATATATTCCTGCGAGTGTATCTTAAAATAATGTTAACGAATTAATCGCTAACTCAAAAGTGCTGAAATAAATAATAGACTTTGCTTTAGTTCTTGATTTAATTTCATTTCTTCAATACAATACAACAGATGTTTATGCCCTCAAAAGCATTCAGAAATGCTCTTTCCAATTTTTGATTAAATTCTGTTAAAATGCCTGCGTCTTCAATATCTTGATTAAAATCATACATTACAAAATTCTATCTTTATCCCCAAATTATGTTATATTTTCCCATTTTTTGGAAATAATGTCCATCAACGAAAATTGATAAAGTAATAGAACTGTAGGTAATAGGCCATCATAATATTAGTAAAATTGAAGGGTTCCTCGCTCTTTTTGTTTAAGGTGAACGTCGAGAAACCTAGTGAATTGTGTAGCGACTCATCGCTGACATCAAACAACTTAAATGTAGAATCGAGATCGGTTAAAATATCTTTGATTTCGCTCGATAAGAATAACAGTCGGCCCCTTCCTAGGGCTTACAACAAAGCCTCTACTTGGGCTTTAACTCAGCATAAATAAGAAGCTAAACTCTAACTAACTAAAGGAGACTTAGATAAAGCTAAACACAAGTATCTAACGTAGTTGGCCTTTAATTTAAACTAGCTGGCGAATAACAAAAGGCACCTAACAATACGGCCGAGCGTAACAGCTTCAATCGTGGCTAACCCGAAGGCAAACACGCGCTACTATAAATTCCTACCACTCTCTCACGAAGTAAGTTGAACCTTCCTTAAATACTTCTTCTAACTCATTTGCATTCAACGCGATTCTAAAATTCATTCTGGTTGGGCGTTGTAAGTGGAAACAAGAACTGATAGAAATGGTTTTTCCAAATTGAAAGAGCTGTTGTAAAGATAAAATATACCTTACAAAGTAATAGGGCATTTCATTCCTTCAATACGATACAACAGAAGTTTGTGCTCGCAAGAACATTTTGAAATGCTCTTTTCAGTTCTTTATTAATTCTGTTAAAATATGTATGGCCTTCAATATCTTGATTAAAATTATATATTAGAAAATTCTTTCCTTATCCCAAATTTGAATTATAATTTCCCAATTCTTGCAAATATGTCCATCAACGAGTAATTTGGTAAAGTAATAAATAGTAATTAAGGTTGCGTGTCTTTAATTAAATCGGCTGCTTGAAATATTTTAATATCATTTACGTAACTCCCAGTTCTTCTTATGAAGATTTTCGGAGAGAATGTACTCCAATAATTTAGAGAAATTAATTACAATAAATAATTCATTGTGCTTTTTCCATAATGTAGTTCATTCAGTCTCATTTCGGACATATTGCGAAAATCCATGTCTTGAAATTAGTTCTTTCTTCGTGAATACTTACCAATACACTGAGGCAAGTCATTTGACCATACTCCATTCGCCTGGCAGATCAAAACACGGGTATCTGTTGGCCTGAAGCCGCTGATGCATACTAACTGACAAGTATCTCCAACAGAAGCAGCAGTACAGCTTCCTACTAACCTTCCACCGTCGGGAGCAACCAAAGTTGGACATATATTTGCTACTTGATTCCCGGTACCTAAATTGGCATACAAAAGAATAAGATGAAATCTTAGTTACAACAACGTGATTTTCTTCATCGTCAAAATGTGTTTATGAGTTGTATTTAGAAATGATGTATTTAATGGCACACTCAGCACACACACACACACACAAATGGGATAGTTCTGGCTGATAGAAATGGCGGAGGGGGGGACGGCGAAATTTAACTGGTGTTTTTCATGTCTCGAAAGCACGATTCACGATATACATTAGATTTATATATAGCATTTTTCTAACATAGATATTCTGACACAAAATCGGACTTTTTCTGAAATAGCATGTTGAGTTCTTTTCTACACTTCGATTCTATGACTCAAATTATATCCAAATATTGAATTCTGTAAATTGGGAGAATTGGGGAGAAACTTGCAGAGAAATTAAAAAATTTATCTTTGCGCACATTTTTCAATTTGCATCAAGAATCATTCACTTGGTAACATTTTTAATTTATAACAACCTATTTTCCTTTCCCTTTTTTCCATTGCGCACGAGCGGAAAAGAGGTAAATCATTCGTTCTTTCACATAATTTTAACAAAGCGCGTAAAGCACAATCGGGGTTATTATTACTTATAACAAATTTAAAAACTCGGCAATATGTAAATTCACGTATATCTTTAGACATTTTGAATAAAAAAATCCTAATTTTTTTTGCAGATGTGCCTAGAAAATGGTTAGGTTAATTTAAGGTGGTGGTAAATCATAATTCAAAAATTTTTTGGAAAAATTTATGAAAAGTTACTAAAAAATACAAATTTAAAAATTTAATCAGAAAATATCTACGAATTTGATTTGGATTGAGCCTAATTTTCAAATTGTGAAAGAAGGAATCAAGCAAGTTTAATAATAATAATAATAATAATAATAATAATAATAATAATAAAGATGGCAGGGCATCGCGATCGGAAAGTCTTGGATTCTTCTGCCCCTATTTTCAAAGCAACACTTTTCCGTTAAAATTTCTGCCATATCCTGATATTATTTCTAGAATTCTCAGTACTCTTATTTGATACCGCTTTAATCTTTTTATCATTCTTCATTGGCGTGCTAAAAAAAAAGAATAAATTTTGTATCTATCATCCCTTCAAATTGTACATTAATGTATAATCAGGGCTTAAATTCAAACGGATATTGGCTGAAGTACTTCTTAACTTCTAAGTGAAATTTTACTCTAAAAAAAAGCTAAAAAAAATGCGAAGGTTGGAGCTAAAAAAAAGCACGAAGTTTAATAATTTACCTGTTCTTTAACTATTTATAAATAATTTAATAATTTATTATTTTTAATAATATTTTAATAATATATTAATATTTTTAATAATGTATTAATAATTTATTATTTAATAGTTTATCAAATTTCCATTCATCTCTTTGCATTTCTTTTAATTTAATTATTCAATTATTTTAGTTTTTAGTTATTTTATTTACTTATTGTTTCCTTCCTGAGAGTTTTCCATACGGCTACGTCTCATCTAACTCTAAAAATTAAGCTCTGTGTAGAATGCTTCACTTGTACCTTGTATATATGCCCCCCTCCGCATTTGAATTTTAGCGTTAAAGAATGTGTTTTATAATGATACCAACAGAATTTCTTTTTAAGAATGCATTCATTATCATCCCTTTACCCCTATTGGAAAAGTATTTTTGGTATATGTTCAGTCTGGAATATGGCCAAGGATTTGGAACGAATCAATGGCGTACAACGAGATATCACTAATCAACTCCGATCCCATGATGTTCTGAAAATACCTTAATAAATTTCACAAATTTTTTTTTTTTCAGTATCGAGAGTAGGAGAGTATAAATAATATGACTTCGAATGGATCTTAAATCTAACTTAACTAAACGAGTAGTTTAACTTGGTATGTGATCCCAGTGTAATACAAATAGAATTCATAAAATTTTCTTCATGTCATTTTGACATTGACGATTTTTTCCGAGTGGCATGAATAACGTGAAATTTGTGCATTAAGAATGACGTATTTAACACGCTGGCAGAAATTATTAAAATGGGACATACTTAACTGTTACAACTCATTTACAATGTGGAAAAAAAGTGTTAACAGGTGTTCCAAAGTATTAATGGCGTTACATCCGGGTAGTGGCATGAGAAGAAATGGCTTTTTATGAATTGTCGTTTATTAGGTATGGATTATGACATTTGATTACGGCACGAAGTGTTCAAACTTTGATGATTATAGGAAATTCATCTGCATATATTCAAAATTATAATGAATTATAATAAATATGAGAGAAGATGTACAAAATAACGGAAAAAGGCATCTATCCGCATTCATCTAGTGCTGCCATCTACTGTCAGAAATAAGAAATACAAAATATAAGATTTGCTATATACTCAAAGTATAATTTATTGTTCAAGTAAAATTTAAAACTAAAATTCATATATTATATCTTTTGGGATTTTTATTTGCTTAATAGCTAACTACATGTTTCTTATGTAGTCTAATCAAACTCTGTAGGTATTTCAGCCAGTGTCGGAATTAAGAAATTTCGTAATTTTAAATTAAGTCACAACGTTAGCATAAGACGGTTGCAAAAAAATTTTTTTTTTTTTTTTTTTCATCTTTTAGACATTTATCTAGTATTATTACCTACTTAATTCTCTGTGCTAAATGATTCAGTATTTATTATTGATTAATTATCTAATTTTTTAAAATGAATTGTTTCTTCAATAAACTATTAAATAGTAATATTTTTACATATAAAGCATATTGAATACCAACATATATAAAAAATTATTAGTAAGCATTCTATCATATAATATTTAAACAAAATAGCAAATACTATACCTATACCGTTTGCTATTAAATATGAAACTACTTTCCGCAAAAATAATTTTTAACCTACCCTTTAAACCAAAAGCTACGTATCGAAATCCTACAACTTTCCGTTCAGAATTTTAAATGACTTAAAAAGTCTCAGTAAATTGATTTAAGATTATATATTTCCAGTTATTCCGTCATTAATAATTATTAATTAATTATTATTGCTAGTGATGCAATGATGATATGAGTATAATAAATTTGAATAGCAGGATTCCCTAATAAATACATGAAATTAATTTAACAGAGGAAGAGAGCAGTTCTATACTTTCTCTATCTCTCTTTACCTGTTATCCGTGTCAGTTATTATAAAGGTAAAATGACTTACGGCGGCAGGTCGGTATCTGATCACTCCAGTCTCCAGATGGTGAACAAGTGACTATGGAGGACCCTACTAACATATACGCATTGTCACAAGTCACTCTGCACACCGTCAGTCCCCCTTCTGCAGCACAGCGCACATACCCATTGTGAATGACAATACTTTCGCAAATGGCAGCTACGAATAATAAAATTTCTTTATTTTCATACTTTTAAAATGGCTTTAACTTTTATATGCTTTATTGTTGCAGGAAAAGCAAAAGTCAAAAGAAATGTGACTGCAAATTCGAAATAACAATACTACTAATACACTGACTACCAATAAGTATTTGGACACATATGCAAATGACGATATCTGCAGTCCTAAGGTACGTCACTGACTCCACCGGAATATATCGTGTAGGACACAGCATCGGCTTTGGTCGCATGCAAGATGCCTCGCAGTTCGGAGCTCTTTGATTACGAGAAAGGTATAATTATCGGGTATCACAAATGTGGCCGATCATTAAGGGACATATCTAGCCGTCTGAAGTACCCAAAATCGACAGTGGCCTATGTGATTAAGAAGTGGAAGGTGAGCGGTTATTGTCGGAATGTGCCCCGAGTCGGCAGACCAACGAAACTGGGAGATAGAGACCGACGAGTGCTGTCCAAAGAAATTCGGAAGAACCGCACCCAACTGATGGCCCTGATCCGCGAGGAGTTTCAACAGGCATCCGAGAGTGTTGTTTCAATGAATACCATCCGTAAGGAAGCACATCTGCTTGGTTTTCACGGTCGTGCTGCTGCCCATAAGCCTTCGATCACAAAGTCCAACCGCGCTGCTCGATTAATGTTGTGCAAAGCACATCGAAATTGGACCGTAGATCAGTGGAAACGGGTTCTTTGGAGTGACGAATCAAGGTTCACCCTTTACCGTTCGGATGGCAGGGTCTGGGTCTGGCGTCTACCTGGAGAACGTCTCCTGTCAGAATGCATTGTGCCAACAGTCAAGTTCGGCGGAGGTGGAATTATGGTCTGCGGGTGTTTCTCCTGGTATGGGCTAGGACCCTTGGTTCCCATTCATGGTAAGCTCAACTCCGATGCCTACTGAACTATTTTGGATTACAATGTTCTTCCTGCGTTGAGGCAATTTTACGGGTTGGACCCCTGTTACTTTCAGGACGACAATGCCAGTTGTCATGTTTGAAGTTAACCAAGGCTTGGTATGGTGCCAATGGAGTTCATCGAATGGACTGGCCTGACCAGAGTCCAGACCTGAACCCTATCGGGAACCTCTGGGACGAGTTCCATCGCCGAACTCAGGGGTGCAAAATCGGTGAAGGAACTTCAAGTCTTCTCCAAGCCGATTAGAATAAGAAAATACCCCTAGCTGTCATACAAAGAGTTGTGAAAAGTATGCCTCGGAGGTTCCACGCTGTAATTACCTCTCGTAGAGGCTCTACCAACTCTTGATTTTGAATAAAGTTAGTTTTTTTTTTCTATCACAGGTGTCCAAATACTTATTGGTAGTCAGTGTATACTTGAATAGAGTAAGGAATGCTTTTAATAAAATGCAACTATTCAACTGTTCATTTTTGAGTATAAGTTAAAAAGATTTAATTTACAAACAAAAGTATATATTTTATCTTTATTTATGGATATTCACGTCTTAAAAATTTATACATTTACACAATAGCAAATGTCTAACATTCCAAACAAGTGATTAGATATTCTTAATTTAGTATAAAATTCACGGAAAAAATTTTAAAAAATGCTTGAAAACTTAATTTTTGCTTTACATGTGTCATATACCGTATATGGTAATATACGATATATTTATAATTTATAAATTAAATCTTAATGATAAATACTTTTCTGTAGCTATGTGTTAAAAATAATGCATTAACGACATATGTTTGAAAGAGTATTTCTTATTTTAATATTCCTAAAAACTTTTTCAGTAAAATGACATCAGACTAATATATACGTTTATGATATTACACTATATAAGGTGTAAACAAAGTAATGAAATTTGAAGCGCAGATTTCGATTTGGCAGCGCTGTGGACTTTCTGTTTAAAGGGAAGGTAATCGAACATCCTATGCACAGCCAGTATGAGTTTGAACTGTAGAATTATGTAATTTTCCGTATTGCACCCGCTGTAAACTTTGTTTTCCTCGTGTATTCTAAAAACGAATGATTTCAATTTCGAACAAAGTTTTGCTATCAAATATTTCTTAAGACTTGAACGCAGTGCGAAAAAAAGGTTTGCAAAACTTTAGAGCTATGTAGACAATGCTTCGTCAAGAACCCGGGTTTTCGGGTGGTTTAAGGCATTTTTATATGGCAGGGTTTGAAAATAAATTTTGCAGGAGAAGGCCGTGAACTGCAAAAGCTGACGAAAATTTTGGCAGGATCTGGGGATCTTCATTTGAAAATCAGAATGATCGGAAAAATGTTGAATTTCATTAGCATCAATATCCATCCCATTTTGACATATTAATTGGGGATGAAGAAAATCTGTGGGGAATCTGGTACGAGAAAACTTTTATAGAAGCAAAAGAACAACAAGAGGAACAAGCGTTTTGATTTTTTGGAGCGGATTCAAAACGATCCTCAATTTCTGAAACGTATTATTGCTGATGGCAAGTCTTGCATTCGACCCAAAAATGAAATGCAAGATCCAGGATCAAAGAAAGCAAGAATAAGCAAGTCAAAGATAATACTTTTTTCGATGGCCAGGAATTTGTTCACAAGTAGTTTGTGCTTCTAGCCAAGCATTTAATCCCCAATTTTACTGAGAAATTTTTGAAAGGCTTCGAAATGGGGTCATGAGTGTGAGACCAAGAATCAAGATCAACTGGGTGCTGCTTCACAGCAGTGCGCCTTGTCACACTGCATTTTAAATCACGAGTTGTTGTCTAAGTAAACATATACCTGTGGCTTATCAATTCCCTTATGCTCCTGATTTGGGACCATGTGATCTTTCCATATTCCAAAGACTGAAACTCCTTTTCAAAGGACATCATTTTGGAATACAAGGAAACACTTAAATAGCTTTAACCGCTTAACAGAAGGCAATTTTTTATCAGAGTTCTAGCACTTCTGTGAACGGCGGAAAAATCCTCTTCAACGCTACGTGGCTTCCCAAGGTGATCACTTGAAAGGAAATAATGTGAAATGTAATTTGAACAGGAAAATATCATAAGAAAGAATATCATTACATTATTTACACACCTCGTACGTTTCACATAATTTGATATCTATTCGATATGTTTTAATTTACTCCAGACTCATATTTATATTTGAATATTGCTTGCAAAATTGTGAAAACATGCATTACAGCTGACTCTGTTTAATGCTTAATGCGATTACAGAATATTTCATGCAAGAGAATGTAGATAATGTATGTTTTTCCTAAATGTACAATCAATCAATTTTAACTGACATTTTGTTAGTTAAACTGGGTGACGAATGTAAAGTTTAAAGTTAAGGAAAAATGCAAACACTGCATGGCATAGATTCTGAATTAAAAGCTATCGATATCGAGAGTGATTAAATAGAGATTACCTTCTTCAGAAGCAACACATGTTTGCTAAACCATGAACGATTTTAGATAATAAACACAGTCATTTAAATAAAGCATCATATTATTTACCCATTTTTTGTGTCAAAATTATTGAGCCATCTTTATGCAGTTTTTCATAGTTATTTTATTTTTTCAAAATAATGCAAAGCTATTTTTAATCTAAAATACAGTCTTCAACTTTCTCTGCTAGTTTCTGAGCAATTACAACGGAATTTTGCTCTAGCAGGGTTTGCAGAACGTCTTCGTCGAGCACTGCAAACCTTTTAGGAGGAAGCTCGTCTTCTAGGCTTAGTTTTAAAGTAGGAATTTTTGAAATCTCCATTGTCATAGGCTTACATTTACTGTTCGATCCGCATATACAGCAATAATATTCCTATTAGTAATTATTTAACTGAGCTCTTTAAGTGATACATATTGATTATGCTCCTTTGTCTACTTCATTAAACTTTTAATAAATAACTGTTAACATCTAAACTACACCCTTGAAAATTTTCTCTAAGAATAAGAGCAAGACAAAATTGCTGGCTGTTTTATCGCAAGTTGCCGTGGATCTTTATATCGTTCCTATACGACTTTTAGTTCATACAACTGAAAAAAGATGCATTATTTATGAGATACGATATAAAATTTCTCATCTCTCGAAAACGCGTTTCTTGTTCGTCCCTTAATTTGTCCGATTTATTTGAATATAAAGCAGAATTTAATAAACAAACATTTTGAAACCATATTATTACTTAATCAATGTTTGTAAATGACGTTTAAATCGAGGTCTGGTTTCAAAGTATTTCTTTAAGTGGACAGCTCGCAATCTCTTCTGGAGGGGGAAAAAAAAAAGAGAATTTCTATGTGTTTTACTTTGAGGTTCCACTCTCTGTTTCTTTCACACCTTCTAGTTTGTAATATTTTCAACAAAATATTTTAAATTTAGTAATTACGTTTTGAAACCAGATGCCGTAAATTACGTCAATCAATATATAACTTTCTAAAATCAGTAATTAAAACAGCAAAATACGAAGCCAAGGCAGCAATTGTCTCGTATCTCTGTTAAATTCATCGACATTTATCAGTAATTGTCGTTGGTTTCAACCACCTTGTTCTAAGTATCAGAACTTAACAGAGACTTCATGCAATACTAGAATAAGCTAGAAACTTTATATAAAATATGAAAAAAATTTAAATAAAATACAGTACTTTAATATCATACCAAAATTACTTTTTATTACGAATATGGATAGATATTATATATTTTACCACTAGTTCTTCTACAGTAGGGAGGTAAAGCGTTCCACTGCCCGCTTGTTAAGCAAGTCAGACGTGACTGTCCTTCCAAAGAATATCCTCTACTACAACGATAGAGGCATGTTTGCCCAACGATTCCCGGATTACATTGTCCTTCCGTATATCCATTATCCGGATCGTGCAATGCAGGACACGAACCACCGCCACAGTTCCGGCAGCCACAGTTACCACATCCATCCAGCTCTGGTAATGAAAAAATAAGAGTACAAATACATACCTAGAAGCTTAAAATATAAGACACTATATAATATAATTTCATTATTTTAAGCAGTTTTAACGCTTTCACGTTTTAAAAAAAATAAGAGAAATGTAACATATTTCTGCTTGAATACATACATTTTTAGTAGTGTGTATTTTACTAACGTGGCAAAAGAATCTTCAGAAAGCTCGTCACGGGTAATTGATTTTATAATTAATAAATTAATTTCGCAAGAAAAGATTATCTTTGTAATATTATGGGTACATACTTCTAACTATTCTTTAGAGTTATAAAAGTCATAAACGTCAATTATGAGTACTTTCGGGGTATCGGTTTTTATGAAACCACGTCTTTAGAAATCTCTTTACTAAAAAACCTTTTATAACAAATGACCTTCTTACGATTAATGAAAATTTAGTGAAGTGTTGCATAGAAGTGAATGCATAGAAGTGTTGATAAAATTCAAACTTGAATTTAATTAGGTTAATGATTGGGTTAGTTTAATGACTACTGGTCTGTTTCAAATTGTTAAAAAATCATACACGTAATCATATTATTCAACACCTGGTAAATAATCTCAGTATATATATATTACCTGAGATATTTTTAATTAATAAGATGAAATCATCTTTCTCTTACATTTTACAGCTCTTATAAAATAAAGCAACAATTGTAATTTGACGATGAAGAATGCAGAAGTTTAAACTCAATTCAAGACCTCGTTTTTTTTTTAACATATTTCAGTTAATATTTTAGGAAAATAATTTTAATCAACATTTTAATTTAATTTTCAATTTGAAAAATGGCACATGGCGCTCATTTACGAGCCAAAGGACTGCTGTATACTCACCACAAGCAGCAGTCTGACCACTCCATGTGCCGTCAGATCTACATACGCGGACCCTGCTTCCAACAAGAACATAAGGATCGCGGCATTCGAAGACACATTCAGCTCCACTATATCGATCACAAGAACCAACAAATTGGCCGTTCCATGGTTTCTGCAGTCTTGGACATTCTAGTAAAATAAGTTTCAAGAGCAAAAATTATTTCAAAAGCCTTGTTTGTTTATTTATTTATTTATTTTCCAAACAGTATGGCATTTTCCAATTAGACATTCGCCTGCAGAGGATATTACTTAGCGGACAGCATAATTCACAAGTGCACATCAGTATCGCCACTGAGGGAGGGGTTTCAAAAATGGACCATTGAGCTTCTACTGCTCTTGTGAAGCTGAGTCTTTTAAAGTGTGCATATAAGGGAATGCTGTTGTTTACGTTTCATTTTGCATTTGTTTCGCAGTTATAAATGTATGGCGTATAAATGCTGGTGTCATTTGAGTAGCAAATCTCGTAGTGCTTTCTTTTTGTAAGTTTACTTAATCGTCAATATTTCACTTTATCGAAAATTATCCCACACTGATATTCGGATTAATATTCGTGCCACACTATCGCTCTTTATATTGAAAAAATAACTCAAGTTACAATTACTGGAAGTGTTACAATGAATCTAGTATTTTCTTATCTCAGTATTTTCGTTCCTTTAATATTGAGAGTGTAAGATACAAAATATGTATTCTGAATGATCTGATGATACCTAATAGTGAAAGTTATATATTAATAAATTAAATATATTCGTTGTGAATAAGATAAATTCATTCTGTTGGAAGAGTATTTCTTGTGTAGACAATATAATTAAGAGTGAATACATTTAAGTTCACTTTGAATTGAATGAAACTGTCCATTGGCTATTATTATATAAAATCGTTTTCATGTATACTGGAATAAAAAATGCTAAGATTTCTACTATTAACACATATACCTATGATTATATTTGATTTAACTTCGCAATGAAAATTTCCACAAGAAATCCTCACTGCTTTAACTATTTTGAACAGGAAATTGCGTGGCAAAAAGATTTTCAACCATCTTGTTTAACCCAAGGCAAATGTCATAAACACTACTGGAAGCCCATTGGTTCATTCTAGAAGCCACACTCTCGGTGGTAATATAGATGTGCACTTACGAAACATGCTAGCGGATATTTCACTTCTCAGAAGCCAGAATTGCAACACAAAACATGACTAGTATTCAACGCGCAAGGAAAAAGTCACAAGCAATCCAAGTTTTACAAGAAAGTCAAACGAGGCCATCGCCTTTTAATATCCAATTTCCCTGTACTGGCCTGGATAACAATGTCATATTTCTGAGCTTTGAAAATATTTTTACGTTTATTATCTTTCCTAAATTCATTTGCGATGTTATTGAATTTCATAAACATGTACATTTCGTAAACATGTTTCTGTGTAAAATCATTTCTGTTAAAAATGAATTTACACAGAAAATTCAAGCACGTAATTTACTGCAAATTTTCAGGATATTTGCAATGTTTTTAAAATTAACTTTAAGATTTAGGAACCTCTCGCATTGTCATTTTAACTCTGCGTCATGCATTAGTTTCTTAAAAAGTTTCTCTCGGTTGATTAAAATTGACTAGATTATATAAAGGTTAGGGGAAAAATTAGGTTGTATTCTTATAGTAAAAAAATATCTAGTTTGAACTTTAGTTATCATTCTACCTAAACGTTGGCGATGAAACACTGATTCTTGCACTATTCCTTTAAATTATGAATGTTAAGAAATTTTAACAAATAAGTAGGATGTAAATTGCATATTTTTGACATGTCTCAAAATTCTATTTTTCGCTTATGTCGTAACAGTTTTACCCTTTAGTGAATTTGTGCTTAGCTCTTTTTAGCTTTTCTCCATACATATAACCGTATGCAAACTGATTTCAATTGCAGTTATAAATTTACTTATTTATTTTACAAACTTATTTTGCTCCAGTAGATTAAGAAATCATCGAATCAGAGGGGAAATATAGTTATTACGAAAGACAAACTTTCCGTCATATATTTTGATATGCTCTCCCTAAAAAATACATTTGTGCTGTAGACATTCTTCAAACAACAAATTCGTTTCTAACGTACATTAATATACCTAATTTCTAGACTATCATTTGAGTTATTTATTATGAAACTAAACAATTTTCTGATCATTTTTATTAATTTTACTGCAAGAAATTAACAGACATCAAAACTCTGTCTAAATGACTAATTTTCGTATACCTACTACTCTACTACTACTAATAATAATAACAATAATAATAAGAAGAAGAAGAAGAAGAAGAAGAAAAAAGATAATAATAAATTTAAACAGAAGAAAATTATTTTAAAAATCGACTAACATCTAAAAAATAATGGATGAAAAGTTTTCCTGTAAATGTTCTACACTGTCAATATTTGCAAACAAATGGTCAATCTACTTATATACGTTTATTGCAAATAAACTGCGATTAGAATTACTTTCTGTGAATTTCATTATTATCTACCACTGAAGTATTTAAAAAGGACATAAATAGGCTTTAAAGAGGATTGTATACACATTGCTCGCTTTGACCGCATCTAGCATAACAATCTTATTTATAAGCTAACTAAACAGAAAGCTCAACATGAAACTATCATACTGCTGTCTAAAATTAAACGAAAAAAAAAATCCTTTTTAGTCGTAGCCTTTAAGAAAGCGCCATCGATTTCTAGGGTGATCAGGTATGGTCCCTTCTTCTTCAGAAGGGAGGAGGAGACTTCAAAAGAACTTGGACACTTGTTATTAATTCTAGTATGCAGCTATGTTAAACAGTTCTTTCCAGCTCTTCAGTGAGTCCCGGGAAGAGCGTGAAGAAAGTGAAATTTCGCTAGTTGAATTTCACGGAGACAAATCAGAAGTATTTCAAAGATGGGAATAGCGACAGCTATAGAAACCAATGCGTGGAATCACCGTGGAAATGAATATAGCGCAATCTATCGACGAAAACAGAAAATTTAAGGCGTTAGGCGTTAAACTAAAAAACGTTAGGGTTTTAGGATTTTGAAAGTGCTGGGAAGAATTGGATTCGAATTAATGTCATTTTCTAAGGAAGATAAACTTTTGCAAATATGACAAATTTCTATAACATGCAATTCATCAACTGAAGAAGATTTAAGGATAATTTTGAGAAAACCAAAAAAAAAAAAAAAAAAAAAAAGTGTGATGAAATGCCCAACTATGATTATCTATCGAAAATTTATTATTTCTCCTTTCCAAGTAGAGGCATTTGAGGCCAAAAATTTATCCCTCTTTTAATCTCGCTAATATGTGTTGAAAAACGCTGGGAAAAAAAATTCGCGTCTCTTAATAAGAAGCTTATGTTTGAAAAGTGAAACAATCAAATCTTCGATAGATAATCACAGTTGGCCATTTAACCATATTTTTTACTTTAGTTTTGGGAAAATTATCTATAAATGCTTCTTCAACTGATGAAATGAATTTTCTAGAAGCCTTTCACATTCAGTACCTTACATCTATCTTCTTTTCGGAGAACATATGTTTTAGAATCAAGTATTATAGCTGTAGCTACTTGCTTCAAGAACTACAGTCGCAAAGGGATCAATTGTTGCACTATTGGACACATTTTCTCATTCACGATTTTTCTAGCTTTAGAAACAGTGCCGATTCACTCTTCACATAATTAGCGTTTGAATTGCTATTCGAGCAGTTTTACAGAAACATAGAAGTACTATTCTAAGATAAATCTGAACAATAAATGTTAGAATGTTTTGTTAATATAGCTATATTTTAGCCAAAAAATTAGTGATTGACACAGCTGCTTTTTTTTTTTTTTTTTTTTTTTTTTTTTTTTTTTTTTTTTGTGCTTGATGGTTAATCTAATGTACATCTAATGTACTAACCGATAAAATAAAAAATCAACTGCAGAAACAAAAAAACGTCAAGCCAAGAATTTATTAATTTACATGAAATGAAGATAACGCTTGTTAAATGCGTTCGAAGTAAATATTTTTTGTTCCATTTTAGGTAGAGTTAATATTTATCAAAAGTGTCACATAGAAAGAGAAACACATTCAAATTTTATCGCAGCAATTTTAAAATTTATTTTTCTTCCGCATGATGTAGCTATTAGTTGGATGTCGTATTACTTGAGACAGAGTCAAATTGCAAAGTAAAAATTCTAAAATTTAATTTTGAGGTCATTTTAATGAAAAGGTTACATGGAAGGAAGTTGTAAAACCTTCTGTCAAAATTATGTTTGCTGGAAAACAGTATCGAATTTTCAAGTGGAAATTTTAATTTTTTATGTACAAAATTGAAAGCCGCTTTCTTTCTCAAATTACATATCCTCGAAACATTAATCTTATGATATTAAATTGTTTAATTTAATTAATTAGTTTTGATTTTTTGATTAATATATGGTATTAATTGTTTTCATGTGTTTCTTGTAATAGAAGTAACCATCTTTTGAACTTAAATTGTCGATAAAGTTGTAAAACAAGTGTACCATTTTATTTTCACTCTTTATTCCGTGGCTTTTAATATGTTACTTGAATATTGCATAAACTGAATACCAATACAAAAGTTGACCCAAAAAGCACTGAACTTTGTCAGAAAGGTTTTCCGTTTTCCATATTTTATTAATGCATTTCCGTATAGAATGCCCTTGACAACACATGTTCAGCGTACTTTTTGTTATTGCCGGAAAATCATTGTCATTTAAAGGGCGTTCGCTTTGTAAAACATTAGTTTTTCACCGTGGAATACCTTTAAATTTTGTTAAATATTTAAAAATTAATAAAACGTAAACTAATTAACTAAATAATTAATAATAGTTAAGGAATATTAATTAATAGTAATACTAATTTAATTATACTAATTACTATAAATATTAATAAATATATAATATACTAATTACTAATTACTAATTACTTATGCTAATTATTAATAATAATTAAAATTAAAACTAAAATAGAAAATGATAAGTCTGTCGATATTTTTAAAGCTCCTTCTATAAATAAAATTATTTAATAAAGGAATGAGAGAAAAGATATAGCATAATCATTAACAAAATACTTGCAATGAAAGATCAGTGGTGAAAATTTCAAAATAAATAACATATTAAAGTATTTTCTAAAAATATACTAAATATGTTGCCGAAGTATTAAGTGATAGTTTTATAAACATTGAAACTCAGTTATTTCTGTAGCGCAACTAATTAATAATATACTCGTCAGTTGCGCTAAATTTTCAAGGAAAATATTCGTACTAATTATTGAATATGTTAATTTTTTTGCATAACTGAATAAATTAATTTTCATCGTAGCCCTGTTTTCCTTTAAGTTTTAAATGTAACTAAATTTATTGTTTGCTACCTGACAATTAATACTCTCAAAGTAGAGAGAGGATGCCTCTTAGGCAGTGCTTAAAGTTTCGGACTTAAAGCCACCAGTAAGTTAAACGGCTGAATTTTGTCCCGTTTTAAAGTCCTGGACTTAAGTGTAGATAACTCTGATGTAATTCAGTGGTTTTCGAAATGTGGATATAGCCAAAAAAATCTCTCATTAAGCCATCTATAATTCTAGGCTTTCCTCTCAAGTTTTTGCTTTTGTAACAGCAGGCGTACATGATGCACAGAAGTAGAGTCAAATTCAAAATCTCAGTGGGCTACTTTGATTACATGAATAGGAATACATTGAATAGGATAGGAGCATGCATGACGAACAGCAACAGGTTAGGTTAGGTTATTTAATTACGGCAAAGCCTCGAGGGCTATCTGCCTAACGGGAGGGATGCCTTCGTGGAGGACTTTCTAAGGGAAACTGGCTCGTATGTACGTTATACACGGGGAAAACCACGAAAACATCCATGCAGCCAGCCTGTTCGTGGGATTTCAAACAATAGGATAGGAAGTTTCTATAGGATAGGAAGTCTATGTTGAAGTAATTGACTAAAAAAGAGCTGTGGCACGAAGAGAATTTTTTATGTTTTCGAACAGTACAGAAAAACATTCACGTTATCCACAAGGTGCTTATTATGACGGAACTACTAATTGAATCGTAAGTGTTACTTTACATTCCTAAACTATACAATCTTCTTTCCAACTGTTTCAAGGGGTATAATATCTTCATGTTTTTTAAATTTAACAATAAAACAAAATTATCTAGGTGAAAGACACCATACGCCTTCCTTATTTATGAAACCTTTATTAGACCTCATGTGAATGGGGTTTCGTACACATTAAAAAAACTCCATAAATCATTAAAATTCAGAATTAGATAATCCGATATTTTAAACTGAAAGCAGAAACATTAATTCCCATTAATTTCCATTGCCAGATAATCGGAGAAACAATATGTCAATTTTCAAAAGCCATAATTACTGTTTAGATTTATTCGTGATCCAATTGAGAATAGAACATTTACTTTTAGAGAAAGAAGCTTTTCTTTATAGAAAACTCTGAAACAGCGTGGTCTATTGGACGAGGAGAGAAACTTCTTACGGAACTCATTTAAAGTCAAGCGCTTTAGCTTCGCTACAAGTGTTAGCCACAACAACGCTTAAGCTAGACCGAATGCTAATTAAACTTATCACTGATCATCATGCTGCATTTCTTCATTTGTTCATTACTATAAAGCATATTGTTACCATCCTCGTAGTAATTTTAATTCATAATAATTCAAAAATTGACGAAATTCGTTTTTAAAAAAATTAAAAAAGAGAAATAAGTGTGATACAATTAATTAGATAAAAAAATTAAAATATATTGATTAAAACTGTATTAATCGAGCGATCTGGAATGGAATATAATTTGTTTTTTTAATCCTATATACCAAAGCACGTAAGAGCTGTCACTCTCTTAATAGATACCAGACCTAGTTTGTATCTTTATGAATGTAATAGAAATGATTTAATGGAATTTCCTTTTGTTTTTAATCATTGAAATGTACTAATGTAATAAAATAATGAAATTAAGGAAAAGGCACTGCTGAAATTTTCAAATTAAAACAATAATATATATTAATTGGTTTTATCAATTATGGCAAAATACGTTGCAGATATCAGTCCAATGAGACTACTCTGATGGAAGGGGATTATATTTACCGATCAGGTTTTGGTACGTGGAAATTGAACAGCTATTGTTTTTGCTTACATTTCTTCCACGTTTAGTGTTATATTTTTTATTAATGGGGGAAAAAACTGTTTAAAAGCAGGAAATGACAATTTACGCTCATGAGCAACACACCTTTCTTTTTTTACAAAATCGTTTTTTATTAATTAAAAATTATGGATTAGAAAAAGTACTTACGCCTTTGTCCTGATGTTCCCCATAAAGCTGGAAAAGAAAAAAAAAAAAAAAAAAAAAAAAAAAAACTTAATTTAGTGAAAAATTTACTTAACAGCATTTTATAAAATATTCTATGTTTTAAATACAAATGTGTAAATTACATTTGTTTCTCTTTCTTCTTCTTTGTTTTGCAACTAAAGAACCGTTTTTATGACTGTGAAGTGTATATGGTTACGAATTTTGTACTTAGATAGGCAATTTCAATAGAATATTAAGAAAAATTGTTGTATTTCTTTCGTAACATGAAAAATCTAAATAGAAGCTATGTGGAAAAGTATATACAGGGGCAAGTGCATTTCACATAGAATAAATGGACATCTCGGTAATCGAGATATCGCTAAGCTGACAACGATTTTGGCGACTTATTTTGTTGCCAAATTTGGTGGGAAACTGCCAAAAGTCGCCAAATGCGATGACTATTTGGCGATATTTGGATCCAGTCTCTATATCGCCATAATATATAATGAAATTGAATACATGTAATTGACCACTATGTCAGCTCTAACCGTAATTCCACCCTCGTATTGCTTTCCAGGAATTTCGAGAAGCAGAAAGTCCTAAAAATATCTCGGCGGCTGGTTGAAAACTATTTAATTTAACCTATTCTTAGTAGTTTGATAAGTAACTACTGATTATACTCTGCGATACTATGAACTGATGTTCGAGTATTTCTGAGGAAAATTGCAGAACGTTGGAGTGCTTCTGTAGATAAAATAAATTTTTATGAACCTAAATTTTAAAACCACACACACCTAAAAAACTACTGCTCTATCTTTATTTATTAATCAAACCAACTCCCGATATAAATGAAATGAAAATGTTTTTTGACATTTCAAAGAAAACCTTAGTAAGGAAGCTCAAACAGTTTTTTTTTATTTTTTTTTTTTTTTTTTTTTTTTTTTTTTTTTTTTTTTTTTTTTTTTTTTTTTTTTTTTTTTTTTTTTTTTTTTTTTTTTTTTTTTTTTTTTTTTTTTTTTTTTTTTTTTTGTTTTTTTTTTTTTTTTTTTTTTTTTTTTTTTTTTGTTTTTTTTGACTTAGCAGAAGTTCGAATATCGTTTTTTTTTTTTTCAAAAATGCCTAAACCCTGAACCCCAATAATGTTTATAGCGATAACTGATGTTCGAGTACCAATGCTTCTATCTAAATTTTCTATTCTTACGCACTATACTCTTTTCTTTTTATAGTAGAGGCCATATATTTTAATGTTTGTTCAAGAAACTTCTAGATTTTTAGGGAATAAAAGGAAATGTTTGAAAAGGAATTTTTATGTTATTTTTCGGGCGTATGTAATCTTCTTATTCTATATAGTTTCAAGTTTTCTTGAAATCTTGCCTAAATCAAAAGGCGAACCCTAGGTGTGCCCAGACCGGGTTCACCGATAATCTAGGACAACTGAGAGTCCGTATTCTTTGTTTCTCCGCATCTCATCGGTCAGTTCATTGACAAAAATGCGCGTTTAAACACTCTTTTCGAAGCTCTATTCAATCAGTGTGCCACTTTGGGCCCACCCACAGAATTAAAACGATAAGTGCTATCTTCACAAAATTTTACTTGTGAACTCTTCTAGGCCTAATTAGACTGCCTGCAGTTTTTAAATCAAAACTCCGACTTCAAAAGGAAGCGTGACGGAAAGCTAAAGGAAAATGAAACATGTTATATATCTGATTTTTTTATCTTCTGTAACGTATACTCATCTTTCTTTTCTCACGTTACATTTATCACTGCCCTAGTTTATTACCCAATTCATTTGTCACATTCTAAGCTCCATCTTGAAATTTAAGTTAGAAATTTAGAACTTAATAAAAAGCAATGATAATGCAAACTTACTGATATCTTGCTATATATTAAAATTAAGTTGCTAAGCTACAATTAAGCAGAAAAACCTCGAATTAAAGAAGGTACCTACTTTATATTTGTTTGAAGTGATTGAAAATGACAGCGGGATTCAAAAACTTTCAAAAAGTGAAAATTCGTTCGTAAGCATATAGAGTTTTCTTAAAAATTCATTGAGGATCGAAAAAAAATCAAACCATTATATTTGACAAAAGAGATTTTAAAAAGCGAGTCGTTACTACTGGAGGTTTATGTTTATGAGCATTTAAGAATATTGTAGTTTTCCATTTAAAAGGTTTTATCGTTAGACATTAATATAACAAAACTTTATTGCTAAAATCACCTGCAATCTCATGTATAAATAATTACGTATGCTTCCAGAATTCAGCTATTATATTTTATAAGAAAGATAAATACTGTACAAAATTAGAGGGAATGTTCGCCAATATACAGGATGAGCCAGAGAAATGCCTACCCACTTTGAATTGTGATAGAAAATTTATTTTTTTACTTACAAGATTAACCTTTCTAAGAAAGGTAATGTTATTTTTCTTTAACAAGTAGCGGCATATTCGTCGATCTAGCTAGGCAACCCAGTTAGTGCCAACAGATGACGGACGTACATTTGAGCTTTTAAGAGCAGAATCAAATTATTAAGTGGTACTAGAAGTTTGGGAATTTTGTTACAGTTCTAAGACAGTAGAGGTGTGAGTACGGGACTGAACCACCTTCAAGATTAACAATTACAAGTTTACGAGAAAAATTCTTGCTTCATGGAACAGTGTGCCACGTGCATAAATGGCGATCAGAGCGACCTCGCACGGCTGTAAATGATGAATCCTCTGATGCGGCGCTGGAACTGTTTCAGCGTTCATCAGCAAAATCTTCAAGGCAAGGGACATGTCAGAGTGATGTGAATGCTAGTAGTGGGTTATGCATTTTAAGAAAGGCAAGTTCCGTGTGCACATTCCAAGGCTGGTGCAACAGCTAAGTGACGACAACCCAGAGAGTCGGGTACAATGCTGTGAATGTGTTCATGAGATGGTTACACGTAAACCGGGATTTATGGGTAGCATTGTTCGGTCAGATGAAGAACAATTCAAACGTGATGGAACTGGTAGTTGGCATAATTGTCAGTCCTGGATTGAAGATAATTCCCACACTACTACTGAAGAGGCTAAGAATCTCTCTGGTGTAAATGTGTGATGTGGACTCATTGAGCCTTTTCGTTTTGAAGCTACTGTAACTGGAGAAAAGTACCAAACATAGCTTGCTGATTCCATTTTCAATGTACCGGTAATGAATGGTCGTATTACCAACAAGATGACGCTCCTCTTCTCTATCATAGAAATGCGAGAACATACCTGAATCAAAGTGTATAGGACCAGGACAGTGTATAGGACGCAGGGTATCAATCTTGTTTCAGGCATGCTTTTCGGACCGTACGCCGCTCGATTTTTTCTCACGAGGTACAGTAAAAGATGAGGTGTTACCATCGTAAAACCTGTAACCTTGACACACTTGGGAATGAGATTCAACCGATGTGCACTTGGACACATTGATGAGAAGTACGGAATCAATCGTGACTCGTATTCAGGAAGGTGTCGATGACGAAGGTCACTATTTTGAACATTTACTTTAAATCACCATTCGGAACATTCACTTTGACCAGAAAGTGCACTTATTTTTCAAATTGAATTACATCCTTACTTTTCCCAGAAATTTAACTTTGTAATTTGGCAAATAAATTTTCTATAACAGTTCAAAATGTGTATGCATTCTTCTGAAGCACCTTGTAGAATATTAAAATTCTCTTAGTTTCCACATCCACTGCTACAATAAAAAGGAATAGCTAGCCTTAAAACGTAAAATTCTTATATATAATGTATGAATCACGATTAAATGAACGTGTTCCATTGTTTTGCCTTATAAATGACAGAGAAATTGTATAAATGTTCCAAAATGTTAAGGAACTTTATCCTGCAAAACTTTTTTTAGCTAAATGCCCATAAATCAGTATATTGTCTGTATCTTAGTTTTTAACAAAGAGAATAAAGAGGAAAATTCACCAATGTGATCCATGCATTGTCCACATCTACATTTTTGTGGAAAACGTATTAACACATGGAGTTTATATGCGAACTCAGGAAAGAATGTCAATGGGCAACAATAGTGTTGTAGACTTGGTTGTAATCCATGGGCAGTTGTTTCTAGGATGTTGGGTTAAAAAAATTTCAAATATCTTAGTGTAAAGGCGGAAACAAAATATACTTTTGGGTATAGGGAATGCTCTAGATCATGACAGCGAAAAAAACTGGGAAAGCAATAGTTTGTCAGAAGTGAGTAATCTGTAAGAAGACGTAACAATAATATACATAAGTCACACGTAAGGTAAACAGTATGTGTTTGTGCCCTTTTTTGACGATACAAAGAACAAAATCTATTTCAGATAACATATTTAAAAGTAATCGTTAAATATCTGCTGCTAAATGCATATGCTTCCTGTCTATTTTGGAGAAAACGACTCAAAGCTGGTAAGTATGTTTGTAGGAATGCTGAGCTGTTGTTGTTGTTGTCCTGTCCATATTACATGGGACAATGGTTGCAACAGCCTACTCTGAAAAGAGGCCGGGCTTCTAATTTTCCACCCCAATTTTGAGAGAGAGCATCCCAGGGGGGGATCCGGGGATCTTCCGCTCCTCTCCCTTTCCAGCAATCCACACGAGAGGACTTTCGGCTCGCCGCATTTTTAGAGTGCCACCATGCCGCAACGACACTATACATTTACAAACATCCATGTCCTCACCGGGATTCGAACCAGGGCCCTTCGGTACCGTGTATACCGTCTGGGCAACGAATGCTGAGTTAAAGTAGTTTAATTGTGATACGTTTCGTTTTTCATTTGTTACAAGAATTTTGTCCTTCAAGAATTATTATTCATCTTCCGTAGAAGAATAGGTAGAAGTTATGAAATATAGAAGGGGAATGACTCGAATAATGTTCACACGTCCATATCTGCATTAAAAAGTTTCTATAAAAGAAGTTCGGACATCATACGACGGCATATTTGAATAGGTAATTCAATTAACAATTAAAATAAAAGCGGTAAACAGTATTCTACAATTAGCATCACAGTTCACAGAAAGGCGAAAAAA